ACAAACCGTTGAGTTTAAACGAGCAGCGGACCTACTAAAAATCATTAATTATTTAACGGCCATAAAAATTATATTTATATTAATGATGTCTCCAAAGTTCAGCGAATTTTTCGCAAAAAAAATTTATTTTGTTCGAATAGATTTGTCAAGATTTAGGATGGAAAGGAAAAGGAGGAAGATGGGATATTTTACCTCTAGTGCTGTCAGCAAACGGACACGATCCGGAATATTTTGAAATTCCTGAAGACCTGATTCTACGAGTAAACATTAGTCATCCAACGTAAAATAATCTTTGCTTTATTCTTTTATTTCAAAAATAATAAATGAATTTTAGTTAATAAATCTTTTTGTAAATGCGAATTTATGGAATTTAATTATATTGTTGGAATTTTTCGGATTTAATTGAATGTCTAAAATAAAAGTCGCGTTTATTTTATTTTATTCTTTTTTAGTTACGAATGGTTTAAAGAATTAAATATTCAATGGTATGCACTTCCTGCTGTATCTAATATGTTGTTTGATGTGGGCGGAATTGAATTTCCAGCAGCACCTTTTAATGGTTGGTATATGGTCACTGAAATTGGTTCCAGGGATTTTGGAGATCCTCATAGATATAATATATTAGAGGTTAGTTTGTTATTAATTACAATGTTTGTTATGCACGCAAACTCCAGCGTCATAGCGTTAAAAATGTAATACTTTTTCTATGGAAAAACTCTTTTCCAAATATTCCCAGAAACGGAAGTAGATNGACAAATAGCAGATATTGTACAAACCGTTGAGTTGAAACTAGCAGTGGATCTACTAAAAACCATTTATTATTTAACGTCCATAAAAATTATATTTATATTAATGATGTCTCCAAAGTTCAGCAAATTTTTCTCAAAAAAAATAATTTATCAGGAAGCACACGAGTGCCATTCGATGACAAGCTCCACGACAAAAACAAGCTTAAGCAATGGCGTCGTCAAACGGTGCAAACTCAGTAAGTAATCCTACAATTTTTTATAGCATAGTTTATATGGATTATTCCCAAAAAATTATACGTATTTTGGAAATGTTGAGTCGAATTAGTCTAGAATCGATTAATTTTATGGAAAAAACCTTTCAAACAGCCGTAGACCGTAAACTCCATACGTGCTGGGCTATGATTGGCAAGGACTCGTACAAAATGGATTCATAAAAACCGGAACGTATCTACCGTGTTATAGGGGGGGTCGACTGTACATATAAATCAAGATATCTTAATTCATCTTTATATGGATTAATGAAAACGTTTTAGAATTTAATATTTAGATATAATTGGTATTGTTATTTTTTACGTTAAAACGAATAATTATTAATTGTAACATCGTCGCAATGACGGGCTGCAATTTATTAAATCTCGATACCCAATGCTATTGATTTTAATACTGTCTTGTCCCTGTACATCATACTTTTTCTGTTAACTAGAGTCATGCCGATCGTCTAGAGAACATTTTGAATTGAAATAATATGATTTCTGGTGCAAATCGGAAGTTTTTATATAGTTAATCTGGGCCTCCTGCTCTTGACCTTTCTATATTTGGTCTCCACTTTCATCTGTTTAACTCCGTTCTCGAGATTAAGGAAGGACAGACAAACGGACGCTGGTGGAATGTATAGGTCTGCAATTTTTAAATTGCAGCCAAAATAGATTTATGTATTTTATAAAATATAATAGTAATGTAATATGAAACTATATATATGTATATAATATGATAATATTATCAGTCTGTTATTGTTATTAGTTTAGATACACTAAGCGAAGTCTAACTGTATTGTGTTGTAGACATATTAATTTAAATTCTCTTTTTGTAAGAGTTTCAGGCATTTGAAAATTTTTAAAAATAATCTATATAGACTTTTAGAGTAGGAGCTTTGATTATCACAACATTAGTATTGATTTACACAAGCGAATAGTTGTAAAGGTTTAGATAAATATAATTAAATATTTAGACTTATGATTACGTAATTTTAATATTATTTTATATTTAAAATGTTTTAAGAGTTGTATTAATACCTTTTGTTTTTTATCTTTAATATAGCTCTATTATTTTGAATATGTATTCCAATGCCTATATCGTATACCCTTTCGTATAAATATTGTATATAGTTTTATATAAATTAATGAAATGATTTCACTTCTTTTAAACTTTTTAAGTTTTATATTTTATTTAAAAAGTAAATACAATTCAATGCAATATCACATAAAATTTTTAAAAAATATGCAATAAAAAATCATTTTTCGACCATTTAATTATAGTAGGAATTTTTCAATTGGTATTGTGAAATGAGATTTGATTAGAAGAAAATGTAATATCAATTTTTACTTAATTATTTGTTTAATGACATAAAAATAGTCCGGGAAATTTCAGTAGTTTTGATTATACTGTGATTTATGACTTAACCTAAGGTTAGAAAGTATAGAAAGAATAACCTATAGGTTATATATTAAAGGTATTAATTAATATTTATTTAATTAATTAAAAATGTGATTAAAAATTGCAGCCCAGTATTATGCCGATGTTACAATAAAATAATTGCTAGTTTATAATATATAATGTCGCGAAAATTATAAATTAAATAATTTTTCACTTAATAAAAGAAAATACTTAAAAGGATAAAAATAAAATAAAAACGTAATTTTTCTTAGTTTTCATTCTTTTCACTTAAACTATTGTGTATTATTTTCATATAAATAAAAATAAAACTTATTTTAATTTTATTAATTATTGATAACGATATTTATATAATTTATATTTATTTAATTATTATAATTTAATATATGATAAGTATAATTAATATAGGTTATTCTATATTAGTAAAAATTTGTCATTAGAATATACTTTTCTGATTATATTCTTTGACAAGTTAAAAATGGATATTTCTTCTCGCTCTTAGTGCCCACAGGGCGGAAAGAGAAGCAAGAAAGAAAAAAAAAATTTATTTTGTTCGAATAGATTTGTCAAGATTTAGGATGGAAAGGAAAAGGAGGAAGATGGGATATTTTACCTCTAGTGCTGTCAGCAAACGGACACGATCCGGAATATTTTGAAATTCCTGAAGACCTGATTCTACGAGTAAACATTAGTCATCCAACGTAAAATAATCTTTGCTTTATTCTTTTATTTCAAAAATAATAAATGAATTTTAGTTAATAAATCTTTTTGTAAATGCGAATTTATGGAATTTAATTATATTGTTGGAATTTTTCGGATTTAATTGAATGTCTAAAATAAAAGTCGCGTTTATTTTATTTTATTCTTTTTTAGTTACGAATGGTTTAAAGAATTAAATATTCAATGGTATGCACTTCCTGCTGTATCTAATATGTTGTTTGATGTGGGCGGAATTGAATTTCCAGCAGCACCTTTTAATGGTTGGTATATGGTCACTGAAATTGGTTCCAGGGATTTTGGAGATCCTCATAGATATAATATATTAGAGGTTAGTTTGTTATTAATTACAATGTTTCATTTTTATTATTTTATTATTAATATTTATAATTATCAAATTTATATTTATTAATATTTATTTTAAAATCTCAATATATAAATTAGGAAGTTGCCATAAAGATGGGTTTAGATACGAGATCGCATTCAACTCTTTGGAAAGATAGAGCAGTGGTGGAAGTTAATTTTGCAGTTTTGTATAGTTTTCAGGTATATTGTTTGTAGAATCATTACTATATTATTAAATTAGCTCCTGATTACTTATATTTATGAATAGAGAGATAATGTAACAATTATGGATCATCATGGAGCATCGGAATCTTACATGAAGCATTTGGATAATGAGATTCGTTTGAGAGGAGGCTGTCCAGGAGATTGGGTATGGATTGTACCTCCATTAAGTGGAAGTCTCACTCCAGTTTTTCATCAAGAAATGCTTTACTATCAATTAAAACCGAGTTATGAATATCAGGTAATTTTATGTTTTCATTAACTTTCATTATTTTATTAGAACTTAACAAATTGATAAAATATATCAGACATAAGAATGAAATTGAGATAACAAACATTAAAAAATGCATTCATTTGAATTATTTATCGTTATTACCAGATACATTCCCATTAAAGTGTTTTCGAGAAAATTTAAGAATTGCGGGTTCGAGTTCCGCTCTGGGCCGATTTTTTTTCTTTCAAAATATTATAAATTATTTATAAATATTAATTTTAATTATAACTATTAATAAGAAATCACGCCTACGTCTAGTGACAAATTATTTAAAAATTAATTTAAAAAACTCAGAGATATATCCTGTTTTAATCCGGTAATCGTTTGCTATAATGTATGTCCACAGACTTAGCGTATATTAAATTAATTTAGGCAATAAAATCTGTTTTAACATTTAAAAAGTTGTACATATCTCAATATTCTAATGTAAAACATCGTTGCATTTATAACAAATAAACTGAAATTACTAATTACAAAAGTGAAATTTGTAATCGGTTTGGGTTTTTACATCAATGATACTTGTTATACAATAGAAAATGATTGTTACGGACATAAAGACTTAATAATTGAAAGTACAGAAGAATATTTTTAATGGCTTTAAATAGTAAATCCATATACTACACTATAAAATATATTAAGTGGAGAGATTATTATAAAGAGAATATTTGCTTGTGTAATTCCATTTCTTTTGCAGAATAAATAATAAAACAGAAAATTTTGCTAGGTTGGTCCCTGCAAAAAGATATTCTCTGAGATATTTAACGAAATAAATGCCAACACATACAGATGGGTATTTTTTTGGCCTGTGTGCGTGTTTCGTTTAATATCTCAGGATGGAATAAATATTAAGATACAAAATTTGGCATGGTAACTTGTAAATAAAAAGCATTTATGCTATTAAATTTTGCTAGTTAAAGGTAAACGCATGGAAGAGATAGAGGAAATTATTTGTCATATTTCGATTGGGGTCACATTTTATGAAAATTTTATTCGTTATTGGCATTTATAACTTCATAAAAAACTTATTAATACCCTCAAATTATAATAATTAATCTATATATATAAATGAGGGTGTTTGTTTGTTTGTTCGCTAGCTCGTTCAACCAATTGCTACGAAGCTCGGAAGTTACGTTCATATACTTCTAACTTCGATCATGTNTATAAATTATTTATAAATATTAATTTTAATTATAACTATTAATAAGAAATCACGCCTACGTCTAGTGACAAATTATTTAAAAATTAATTTAAAAAACTCAGAGATATATCCTGTTTTAATCCGGTAATCGTTTGCTATAATGTATGTCCACAGACTTAGCGTATATTAAATTAATTTAGGCAATAAAATCTGTTTTAACATTTAAAAAGTTGTACATATCTCAATATTCTAATGTAAAACATCGTTGCATTTATAACAAATAAACTGAAATTACTAATTACAAAAGTGAAATTTGTAATCGGTTTGGGTTTTTACATCAATGATACTTGTTATACAATAGAAAATGATTGTTACGGACATAAAGACTTAATAATTGAAAGTACAGAAGAATATTTTTAATGGCTTTAAATAGTAAATCCATATACTACACTATAAAATATATTAAGTGGAGAGATTATTATAAAGAGAATATTTGCTTGTGTAATTCCATTTCTTTTGCAGAATAAATAATAAAACAGAAAATTTTGCTAGGTTGGTCCCTGCAAAAAGATATTCTCTGAGATATTTAACGAAATAAATGCCAACACATACAGATGGGTATTTTTTTGGCCTGTGTGCGTGTTTCGTTTAATATCTCAGGATGGAATAAATATTAAGATACAAAATTTGGCATGGTAACTTGTAAATAAAAAGCATTTATGCTATTAAATTTTGCTAGTTAAAGGTAAACGCATGGAAGAGATAGAGGAAATTATTTGTCATATTTCGATTGGGGTCACATTTTATGAAAATTTTATTCGTTATTGGCATTTATAACTTCATAAAAAACTTATTAATACCCTCAAATTATAATAATTAATCTATATATATATATAAATGAGAGTGTTTGTTTGTTCGCTAGCTCGTTCAATCAATTGCTACGAAACTCGGAAGTTATATTCATATACTTCTAACTTCGATCATGTCATACATCTCACACCAAAATATTGACGAATTTCTACCCATAAATTAATTTTTGTGGACATTCGATTTTCTAGTTTTACATATAGCGCCGTGTATTAGGAAAAATTTAAGAAATTAATAAAGTAAATATAATTCTTACAAAAAAGGATATAATTTTAAATATATTTATTTATTTAATTGCTGCGACAATGATATAGTGAGAAATAGATGCGCTGTTACGCGTCATTACGCTATTACTGCGACAGTAGCAAGTAGCACTTTCTGTGTACAATATAATGTTTTGCTCCTGTACATTATATTTTTCCTGTTATGAAGTCTTGCCGGTTATGTATCTAACTAAGTTCAGGGCAAAATTTTGAATTGAAATAACGTGACTTTCGACTTCCATTGAAAGTTCGAATATAGTTAATCCGGTTCCTCTTTCTCTTATGATTTCCATATCTGTCACGGCATCCATCTATCTAACTTTATTCTCGAGAATAGTGGTAAACAGCAGACAACAGTGAATTTATGGGTTTCAAGTTTTTCAAATTGCAACTCAATACGTACCCTTTAGTAACCGAGTGGATAACAACCACCAAACACAGGGTTATATTTATATTTATCTTATTTCTTATCTTAACAGATAAGAAGATAAGGAAAGTTCGATGAATTAAATTTAACAATATTTTCTAATCAAAAATACATGTAAAACAGCGATAAATCCGCATATAACGTTGCCGAACGGCTAATAAGAAACATTTTTTGTTCAAATGCTATGGCGGATATAGCGAATATGCATGTGAATAATACAATGTCAAAAATAAAACATTTAAATTTTTACACTTAATCAAATGAAAAATTTATTATCTTCTATTGTTTAGATACTTATAAATTCATCTTATATCATTTTCAACAAGAAAAATCGTAATATTGTCAAGCATTATTATTAGTAGTATTTAATAATCTAAATATATAAAATTACTTGTCCTGACTGACTGACTCACTGATTCATCATCGCTCAGTGCAAATCGCTGAACCTAAAGAGGTAAAATTTGGTACACAGTTAGGGTACGTCATGAAAACGCACACTAAGAAGGGATTTTTCGAAATTCCCCCGCAAGGGGGAGGGAAAGCATTAAGGCTTAACCGGAAGAACGGCTTTTACTGTACTATTTTAGATGCGATTTTTTCTTTTCAACTACGTTTAGTCTTCATTGAGTACTTAGGTGTATTAAATTGATAACATTTCAAACATTGTTATAAATATTTTCATATATTTCGATTTTTTAACCAAATGTTCAAACCGTTTTAAATTCGAATTTGTTATTGCATATTGGTTCGATTATAGAACGATTGTAAACGTTCTAGAAATTTTATGTAATTGAAAACATTTCGTTTGATTCTCACCAATTCTCATTATTCTCAGTGGTAGGTGTTATATAACAATTACTATGGTTGTTGAAATACTGAATACAAATGGGGTTTGATTGCAAAAATATGGCGAGCGAAGTCGTTGGTAACAGCTAGTTTATAAGAAATAAGCAATGTCTTTATTTATGAAGATTTACTTCTTTTTAATAATTCTGGATAAGTCTTTCTCAGTTCCTGTACGTAAAAAAATCATACAAAAATCTAATTACTATTACAAACGAGCAAAGTTCAAACATGGATGAAGAAATTAATGGATATAATAGATACAAAAAAAAATTATAGAAGACAGAAATAATTCGAAAACTGATTTCGGAAATTAAAGCAAAGACAAAGATTGAAGGTCTTAAAAGTGGACCGTTGCAAGTAACCACAGAAACAGGAATATACGTAACCAAGAAACCATCCGTATTTAATACAAGTGTAATAAATGTCATCATAATTGTCGCATACTGTTTAGCAATGTCTGCCATCTTTATAATCGGATTCTTCATCCTCATCAAATCGAATAAGCGCACTGTAAAAACTGTGGCATCTCCCGAAGACACCATTAGATGACAGAGACGAATTAGTAAATTGCTAGCAGAAAAGATGAATTCGAAATCGAAAAGCATCGTCCATACTGAACCTTCATCATCTATGCAAATACCATTCGATTCTATAAAGGAATAACAACATAATGAACAATTACAACTTATAAGACTTTGCATGAAGGACGAAGACATAATGAGTAAGAAAGATACGAGTATTAATTAAATATTTTATATATTCACATATAATAAATTAAGGAATTTATTTTNTTGGTTTTCGAGTCTTTGTAGAATGAGACATTTCTCGTCTTGCACTTAACTGAAGTTTATCACCAAGAATATCATCAAGGGATTCTTCTTTTTGAGTGACATTAATATCAAAGAGTCCACTGTAGTCCTTGATAAAAAAAAGTATATTTTGATATAAATATTTTATGACAACTTATTAGAGGATAATATAAGAGTGAATTTATAAGCCTAAAAAAAATAAAAATTAAGATTTAATCAGAAAGCATTCATAATCATATTTACATAATGTTAACATATTCAACTATATATAATAATTAATTAATTAAAGTTCATTTAAACTTCATTATAAAATAATAATTTTTATTATATTAAAATTATTTTCGTTAATATTCATTTTTATATAAAAATGAGCCATCATTAAAATTCATACTTAAATATAAAATATATGGACATAAGCTTTTATGGATATAAATATATCGGTGAAAAATTATTTATTGTAGTTTATTTTAATTTTTTTATAAACTTTGAAATGTTTTAATATTTATTTAATTCGCTATATATGTAGATATGTAACACAAATTAATGCAAAGAATTTTACAAAATTCGACAGAATTCTTTTCCTAAAATATACTTTCTATTCAAATATTTTACGTTAGTAAGTGAAAGGCCAATGTAACTTTATTATAAGAGATATTTTTAACAATATCAAAGTCAAAAGATATCTAATGTAATGATTAATTTTAATTATGTTGTCGCTACTAACTGTATTCAGAAACTTGAAAAAGACCTAAGGACATAGTTACTTTAAACTTTATTTAAGATAAGTATAATAACATAAAAATAATTATAATTAATAAATATTCAAATTGTACATTTTAATTGTTTTGTCATGTTCTTTTAATGTCAAAGTCATTAAAACAAGAATTTGTATTTGTTGTAGCTTTATTTAATTATGCCACTTAATGCTGTCAGTCAATTACTGTTATCAGTACAAGTTAAGCGAGTCTCAAAGTGATTACAATAAGTAGATTTTACTGTATATTTATCGTGTTATCTGTATATAGAGTTAGCTTAACCCCTTGGCCATCCAGCCGTTCAGCCCATCGCTCTGGGGACCCGAGATCGAATCCGGGATGTCGAAAAACCCCAGGAATTTTTCATCGGAGATATGTCCCGGATAACTAGGGCTTTGTATCTCACTATCTGTCGCCCATCGCCATCATAAATATATGAAATCTAAATGTTGAGTTTTATAAAATTTCTTTTATATAGGAAGCAGCTTGGCGAACTCACATTTGGGAGAAGGATCGAGAGAAAAATACGAGCCCGAAACCTCCTATTAGAAAATTTCGTTTTAAAGAAATTGCCAGGTAAAAACACTTTTTACATAAAACGTTTAATAAAAATTAAGTATATTATTTAATACGATATAATGAGCGTAATACAATTATTTTAAAGTAGAAAGAAATATTGTAAACTATATATTACAAATACCAGCATAAAGTGGTTGGTTTTCCACATTTTTTATTTGATAAATTTCTTCTATAATAAATTCTAATTTAACAGTCGTATAATTAATTATAATTAAATTACAGAGCTGTTAAATTCACTTCAAATTTATTCGGAAAGGCTTTATCTCGTCGGATTAAGGCAACGATATTGTATGCTACTGAAACTGGAAGATCAGAGCAATATGCCAAATTATTAGGAAATATATTTTCACACGCTTTTAATGCCACAGTAAGATATAGTAAAAATATATCTAAACAGTGAGAGCCAAATCCTTTATAGAAATCTCAAACTTATTTTCTTAGGTTGTGTGTATGGCCGATTACGATATAATCAATTTAGAACACGAAGCGTTACTTCTTATTGTTACAAGTACTTTTGGAAATGGCGATCCTCCTGAAAACGGAGAAGTAAAATACCTATTATAATGATCAGTTTTATATTTTTCGGATGATTAAATCGTGAAGAATTACTTATTTTTTTATTTTAGGCATTTGCTAAGAATTTACAAGCTATCAAAGTTACTGGAGACACAACACCTGATATCACATACGTCAGGTAAAATTTAGCATTATTTTAAGGAAATTTAGAAAAACATAACCGTTTTATTGATGTATTATGACGTGATATCCTACAGGAGTACCTCCATGTCGTTTGTAAGGATGAATAGCATCAGTACCGATTTAGAGGAGGATTCTCTACCTTCACCCAGTCCAGATGTTGACATTGGTCCTCTTAGTAATGTTAGGTAATTAAAAAATATTTTATTTTTGTATTTTAAATTTTGTTAAACTGAATTAATACTTCTATAGTAACATACTTATTATTAAGATTTGCAGTATTTGCTTTGGGTTCGAGTGCTTATCCAAATTTCTGCTGCTTCGGAAAATGTTTGGATAATTTGTTGACCGATTTAGGAGGAGAAAGGATTCTTAAAATGGCAACTGGAGATGAATTATGTGGACAGGAACAATCGTTTCGCAACTGGGCAAGGCATGTATTTCAGGTAAGTATATAAAACACACTGCAGTTACTGAAATCGATTTAATGTGTTAATTAGTTGTCATTTAGGTGGCTTGTGATGTATTTTGTGTGGGAGATGAAGTAAACATGAACGATGCCACGGCAACATTGAAATCCGACACTTCTTGGATTCCTGACCGAGTACGTTTGCGAGTGATTAATACTCCAGAAGTAGACATATCTCGAGGTAGTTTCATATAAATATAAAAGTTTGATTTCACATATCTATTTGTAAAAGTAAATTTTTATTTTCTCAAAAGGTGTTGCTAAAGGAACCAACAGACCAGTGACTTCATGTTTTTTGGAAGAGAGGGAATTACTCCATTCGGAGACAGAAGAGTATGTTTTGTTTATGTAATTTTAATAAATCAAGATTTTCCAATATTTCCAGTAATCAAGAGCTTTCTTTCCATGGAAAGTAATGCGATAAAAAAGATTGAAATAAGTACTTAATCATTAATAGAGCAGTGATGTTGCTTTGCAATTCTTTGACAATTTAGGCCTACCGTGACCAGTTAATTAACATTTAATCTTTTACTATTAAATAATAGCTATTTAAAAAGGGTTATCACACATTAATAAATTACCTTTATAAATTTTTCAGATAAATATGACTATTCTGGCACACCTAAAATGCATTTCGGCTTAAAATACCTTGTTATAGCCCTCATCAATTAGAAACATTTTGGTCAGTTATAAACGTATTATACCACTCATACAATGATACAATTTACATGTCTAAAAATACGTGTATATGCACAGTACTATAGCATTAAAATAGAATAAATAAAAGGCTAGCTATCGATAGTTGCACTTATAACTAATGACATATCGATATTGTACAGTACAATCAAATTTTAAAGCAATATAAACTTATTAAAGAAAATATATTAATAATAATTTTTCATAGTATGGTTTGCATAATTAGAACAAAACAAAAGGTTTGTATTTTATAACTGATTACAGTATAATACTTTATGTAAATAAACTTTAAATTTATATATTTTATGTAATATTATGCATTATAAATTTATTTAGCATTTTATGATAATTTTTTATGATATGCGAATGTGACTTTATTTTTAGAGAATTACTTATATTTTTATTAATTTTCAATTACCTGTATCTATATATTATGCTTTAATTTTTGTTCTCTTAATTGAAAGAATTTAAAATATATAAACATATTCTTTTAAAATATATAAACATAGTCGACAAACCATTTTGGTGAAATTAAACATGGAACATACGGGACTGTCATTTCTTCCTGGTGATCACATTGGAATCTATCCAGCTAATAAGACAGAATTAGTAGATGGAATTTTGCAATTTATAAATGAAACCTGTCCTAATCCTGATGACGTCGTACAAGTTGAACATCTTACTCCCGTACAAACTTTAGATGGTAATATTTGAGAAATAATTATATTATCGCAATACCATTAATATATTTAATTAATAACATTAATTTTTTTGAAGGCATTCAAGAGAAATGGGTGAAACACGAGAAAATGCTTCCGTGTACAGTACGGACTGCTATTACTAGGTATTTAGATATTACTACGCCACCAGGACAACAGTTATTAGGTTTGTTAGCTACAATGGCAACGGATGATAAAGATAAGAAAAAACTAGAAATATTATCAAAAGTATATTAATATTAATTACTTTAGCTTTTCCTAATCTATACAAGGATTATATTAACTACTTTTTTGTAGGATGCCGGAAAGTACGAAGATTGGAAATCGTATTATTATCCAAACTTTTTGGAAGTTTTGGAATATTTTCCTTCTATAATGCTCACTCCAGCTTTTATTCTCACTCAACTCCCTCCTCTTCAACCTCGTTTTTATAGTATTAGTTCTTCAAGGGATGCATTCCCTACTCAAATTCATGTCACTGTTGCAGTAGTGAAATTTAAAACTCAAGGTGTGTTCAATTTTAATAGTATTCAATACCTTATAGAATAGAAATTCAAATAATAAAAATTATTTTCGAATTTATCATAGATGGTACTGGCCCAATACATTATGGAGTATGTTCTAATTATTTACGAGATACTCTTGAAAACAGTAAAGTGGTTTGTTTTGTAAGAAGGTACGTAAATTCGAAAACGATGGCAAAAACACTATCCGATATTCAATTAATATGATATATTAATTTATTTAATAGTGCACCAAATTTTCGGTTACCCGATAATATTGAACTTCCTGTGGTTATGGTCGGTCCTGGTACAGGAATAGCACCATTTAGAAGCTTCTGGCAACAAAGACAGTTTGATAAGAGTAAAGAATCATCTTTAGGTTAATAATTATTTTATTAGATTAAAAATTATATTATTTTGATGTAGATTCTATTTCGAAAAGTACAGCATATAATTGAAAATAGGGCTTAACCATTTTTATTATTTTCAATATAGTGAATAAAAATTTTGGAAAAATGTTCTTGTTCGTGGGATGTAGGCGCCCTTCAGTGGAACTTTACCGAGAAGAGACAAAATTAATGAAGGATTCAAAGATTTTAACCGATATCTACACCGCCTATTCTCGATTACCCAACGAACCTAAAGTAGTTAATATTAGAATATTAAATAAACTGGCAAATATTAATTTGCAATAATTTTATTCATTTAATTATTTCTAGCGCTATGTTCAAGATATAATTAGGGAAGTCGGATCACTTATTTATGATTTAATTATACAACAAAAAGGGCACTTTTATGTTTGTGGAGATGTTAGTATGGCTGAGGATGTAAGGCAAACATTAAGGAATGTCATACAAGAATACGGTTGCAATAGTCAACAAAATGCAGAAAACATAATGATAAGTTTACAGGTAAGAATGTTGTTTTTTTAGAATTAAGATTTTTGTAAATGTTTCCAAATCAAATTTAAGGTGTAATGGTCGTTTTTAATCTTCATAAAATAAATGTATATTATATAGTTTTCAATTTAAACAATTTTTTCCAATATTATGCATTTGTATCATTTGAAAATATAAGTTAATAATTCGTTTTTAGTGTATAAAACGGCCAATATACAACTGATTGTTTCTCAATATGGAATATGAGATTGTTGATTAAAAGTTCAATTGGATGACAGTTTCAATAGAAATAACCATCTAGCATCATCATCTAGATTATAGACATGCTCATGAAGATAAAACAAGGGCATATTCTTCCCTTAACCAAAAATTTAAAACAAAATGAAGAAAACGTATTTCAGAGAGGAAAGGCTATTTTTTTTTTTTTGTCTGTATGTATGTCTATAAATCTGAAATTTATCTACAAAAACAAAACTATTTATGCACAAATATATTTCTATTGCTTTCTTACCATAATATCTGCATACACCAATACAAAACCATGAAACTCATTAGTGACATCAGTAGTTAAAATTATAGTTACATCAATTTGAAAGTAAAAGGAGCTTCGATTATATAAGAAAATATTTTAAATTTCAATAAATAAGTAAATTTTAGACTTTTTACTGTACTACTAATTATTTTTATTATTTAACATTAGTATTGTATCTTAAAGTATTGTATCTTTTTATAGACTTAAATTATTTTTTAAAATTGGTGCAACTAGGAATTGAAGTGCGAATTAATCTGAAACATTACTCATAAGAAATATGTATATATATAGGAAAAGAATTTCAATTATTGACATTTCCAAGAAATTTGCAATTTTTCTAGATATTAGGAACTGTAGAGTAAATGAATGATTTTAATATTTAAAGGTTTTAATTTCTTATTTTTAGGACGAAAATAGGTACCACGAAGACATTTTCGGAATAACTTTAAGGACCGCTGAAGTTACCAGCAGAGGTCGAGCCGAAGCCAAAAGCAGAAGAGTTCCTAGTTAATGTTTCCAAAGTACATATGTTTTACCATTTTCATTTTTCTCACTTGGAAAAAACATTTCCAAAGAGAGAAAGAACTTTTCCCTCAACATTGAGATTATTCATTTGTGTGTTTCAAATATACAATATTTTCTTTGTAATTGCTTCTGTTTTATTCAATACAAAAAATTAATAAAGGTTATGAAAGTGTCTAAAATTTTGAAAAGAACATTAAAATTTCTAATTTATTTGTCAATTTTATCTCTTATCTATTTAAGGTATCCATCAGTCAGAGTCAAATGTACAATTTATTAAAATACGATGTAAATAAACACTATAAAATGATAATATATTGTAAATATAATGTGATTAAATTAAAGTCATAATATACATGTAATTATAGATGAGACTTCAACTGAAGAGTAGAATTTAAATATCTTATTTCTTCCAAAATTTAAATATATACCTCTAAATATGAATTACAATAAAACACGATATTTGATTTAGTAGCTAACAAGTAAGAAAAGAAAAACACAATAATCTAAGTTGAAAGATAAATATTATATTACTAATACTGTATAACATTTTATTTAAACATTCCAAATACAATTAACATTGATTAATACATAAATCTCAATATTGCTATATATCATTGTGTAAAAATGATATATAAATGAAATGAATATAAATGAAATTAAACATGAAAGTAAATAGTCTTAAATATTTTTGAGTTGTTATCGTTATTTTACATTAAAATATTAATCTCATTCTAAATATAATAAATTCAAAAATTAAATTTATTTAGTATATAAGTACGAATGGATTTGTTCTATTTTTGAACAAATACTTGATATAAATCATTTTTAGTACAGTGAACTGATCAAACTTATCCATTAATACAACCAAATAAATTAATAAATTTATTAATACATTGTGAATTTAATTTCCTTAAAGTAAAGAATTGACTAAATTATAAGAAATGAAACTTCAAACTTTTTATTTTGACATTAAATTTTATAGTGTATCTCTTTCAGGATACTACTATCTTAACTACAATAATCTAAACATAATAATTAAGGTTGATTTATGCTATCAAACAAGAAATGACACGACAAATTTTATTAATTAAATTTCACTTGTATTCACATTAACTGTATTTGGCACTGAAAAGACACGTCACGACAAAGATACGACAGACGGATAATCTGAGAAATGTCTGTAGTGTCCATGCGTGTCTTTGACGTGCTCGTGCAGTATATTGTGGACGATTTTGTGATTCCATATCGTCACTTTCGCGTTGTAAAGATACATAATATTTTAGTATTTTGGAAAAATGAACTGTGAAAAATTAATAGAATTTGTTTGTGAATATCCAGAACTTTATGACGTGTCAAATCTAACGTATAGTGATAACAATCGGAAAGAAAATCTTTGGTTTAGAAAAAGTCTGATATTCTCTGTTTTGCATTTATCGACATTTAGTACAACCAAATAGCCTATATTTTCTTTAGATTTGGGGCTTGTCTTCATCAAGTATCACGTCTATTATTGCCAAGTCATCGGTAGAAAAATATTTGAACACTTATTTAGTAACTCTAAAGCAACTAGCCAGAATCTCCGTATAAACCGAGAATATAAGACTTAAAGAAGAAAGCAAGGAGTAAGAAAGAAGAAAAAGTAAGTAAGTAAGAAGTAAGTAAGAAGTAAGTAAACTGGCGAATTGTTGTGCTGTGTTGCGTTGCTGTCTGAGATAATGTGAATAGTCCATAATTTGTCGAGTCTTTGCCGATTTTTGACGAATCGTTTCCTTGTCTGAGATCAATGCTGGATTGACATTTTTTCACCAATTTAGTTTCTTTATGTAAAGAAGAATTCGAACACTCAGAATCTAGTCTAATTTGCAACAAGAAAAAAGCAAACCACAAGTGCTGAAGAGGCGCTGTCTGTAGGTAAGGCGCCATATTGGAGTTATTTATATTATGCTAAGATCTGTCATGCAAGTTTTAGTCGACCGACTGATTGATCGTACGATCGTCATTACGCGCTCAGTACTGCAATTAAATAGTTGGCCGACCGTAACGTGCGACATATGCAATAAACACGTTATATGAAAAATAAACTTAACAATTGAAGTTAGAACCTAATGACCAAATATCTGATTTAGTTACATAATGTGGCAATTATAAAACGAAGACCGTTCATGATCAACTCTGGGCAGCGAGTTAACTGGAAGTCTTAAAAAAAAGTTTTTCTAACTGTAGGAATTATTGTCACTTTGCTTTATTATTTGAAACCTTTTATGTTAATTATATTTTAAGGCTGATTGTAACCTCCTTAGTTACGCTTGTAACATCCAGTAAATGGCGTTGATTTTTAACGCTTTTTATGGAAAATTTCTTTCCAAAAGTTCTCAAAAACTGAAGCAGAACCAAACAGTTTGTGTTAGAATTTAATTCTTCTGTTAATTCTGTTTAATTCAGAATTTTGAAAAATCAAATTTAAAAATTCGTAGAAAATTAACGAATTTGATTTACAAAATTCTGAACTGTATTATAATATAGTAGTTATGTGTGAGGGCGTTAACTGGTGCCCTGACACAATCTAATGGCGATTCAAACTCGGGGCACCCAGAGTTTGAATCTGCTGTGAATCTAGTTTGGATTCCAGTATGGTGTTTTATATGAGCAAATCACAACTTTGTGGCACAATACCTGCAAAACGACTTAAATGCGCCAAAAATGACCTTTATATACGTAATCAGCTCAAAATCCTGTGCAAAAGTACAGTACCAGGACTTCTCTGTTTAAAAAAGTATCAGGACGGCGTCTTACTAGTTAGTATGCTCCGAACAACTACAGCGCTGATTCCATTACAAAGTACAGTTCAGAAATTTGTTCACCCATTTTAAAGCTTAACTCCTGTCTGTGGCTTTTAAAAATTTTTGAAATTTTATAGGGCATTTTATTCATTTGGAGGTTGAATGCTATTAAATTTTGGAATTAAAGATCAAGAGAATGGGAGATAAATGTGGTATATGTAGTTTGGATCTAAAACTCGTCTCTAACTTCAAAATTAAGCTCTCTACCATTTTATATTATTTAAATTAATAACAATTTTTTTAAATATCAACAGATGAGCCCACACACAATTTTAACTTTTTTGCCGGGAAAGTTATGCAACTCATTGCTAGATTTTTTACATGAACTTGCCAGAATAAAAAAAACGTCAAATAACTAAAAGTGCGAAAATGCAGGGAATTCACAGAAATATGGAGAAGGTATTTTTCACTTCAGAAATAAGGACGTGTTCACATAAGTGAGGATGTTTAGTAAACTTGATTTTACTATACGTAGATTTTACATACAATTTTTGGTACAGTTTTTTTTATCAACAATATTCTTGAAATTTTAAAAGTCGAAAACTTTAAGTTATATAAAAAAGGTAGTAGAACTAGTTTTCAAAATTTATTTGAATTTTATTTCCACTATTTATCCTAATGGAAATTTATACTAAATTTTATAATATTTGTATATAAAAGCGAGAAAACGTTAACATGATTAATTTCATTATAATGAGCGGCAAGAATAAATAGGCCTGTGTTTTCATTTAATTAAATTACTAGATTTAATCTAGCTTCTTCTCTGCCCTTTTTCGTAATTTCTTCTGTTTTTAACGTTACTCCAAAAATATCTTCGTGGTATCGATTTTCCTTCTAAAAATATGCACATTTAATTAAAATAATAATAATTATATATATATTTATTATTGTTATTATTAACTTAAAATATACTCACCTGCATTTTAATCATTAACATCTCCGCTTCCTTCTGTGGTAAGCTTTCATGTTGACCAATAATCGTTATCAATGTTTCTCTAACATCACGAGCCATAATTATATCTCCACAAACATAGAAATGGCATTTTCCCCTAATGACTAATTCATAAATTGTTGCCGACATTTGCTGAATTATATCTTGTACATAACACTGATATGATTAAAAAAATGAAAAAAGAAATTATTAAAAAATTTACGTCATCAGAAATAAAAAGTTTTTACTTACTTTTGGTTGTTTGGGTAAACGAGAATAAGCTGTAAATACATCTTTTAATACTCCAATCTCTTTCATCAATTTTATTTCATTCGAATATAACTCCACATCAGGATGACGATATCCGGCGAATAATATCATATTTCCAAATGTTTCTAATTGAGACATTTTCTTTAATCTTTTTAAAAATGTATAAAACATGTATTTAATTACTCACCATTGGCTGGAGCCCGTTCTTTTTCACTGTTTCTTTGTTGCCAGAAACTTCTGAAAGGAGCAATTCCTGTTCCGGGACCAACCATAATAATTGGAACGGTCTTATCAGCCGGAATATGGAAATTCGGAGCACTAATAATGAAAAAAACAAAATAATACGATATTTAATACATAAAAAAATTTCATCTTTAAAATTATTTCATAAATCACCGCCATAATTTTCGAAAAATGTTATAATTCGTTATCATTTCGGTGCAATTAGGTGACAAACTATAAACAAGCCAATAACAGCTTGTTTCATACAAAACAGGCCATGTCGTTAGCTAGTCCGTTTTGTCAAAGAAACTGATTGTATATATATTATTTTTGTTCAAATCACTTGCGCTTAGAAAAAAAATAAAATGCTTAATTTCACTTATACGAAGTAGAACCAAGACAAACTGAAACTGAATTTTTCCTTTAAAAAATGTGGCACTATTTCCGAATCGATTTATATATCATTAAAGAATATAGTTATAGATACATCCGTTCAAAAATTACAAGGAAATGTGACGCTTCGCTTTGCTACTAGAGTGCACAAATAATGTTACACTACAGAAAAAAACGATTGAACGTGACAAGCAGCATGTAGTACTAAAATTTTGCTTTCTTTTGAGAAGAATAGCTATGGAACCTTATGAAATATTGAGACATGTATAGTGAAGAAGTTCTTCGATAAATCAAGAATTTCGATAGTCCAAAGCATTCTCTGAATGTGAGAATAAACTTTAAGCATGCATACTCTGTTTAATTGTCAAGAAATATGATGTTCCGCCACATACAACAGTCACAGGACAATAGTACAGATTGGCATGGAGACATGGAAACGTTCATATCTCCATGCCAATGGTTGGCGACTTTACCATGACAATGCACGCCTGCACATTTGCTAATGTGTTTACCAAGTTTCTGATCACGTAAGGTACAGTACGTTGTATGTTTACAACTATACAGTCAAAATTTGGCATCTGCTATTTTTTCTGTATGGAGTCTAGTATAATGAGCCAAGTTTAATTATTATTTTTTTATTATAAAATTCGTTTCCTTTTTATCTTAACCATTAGAATATTTCAGCCCGAATAACTCAAACTCTAATCTATACTGTAGAAGATTCTTTATAGCAGAGAAAGTCTTTCGGGCTCTATAAAGCGATAGAGAAGATAGCGATTAAGTATGCCCATAAAAAGTTATGAAGGACAATGCAGAAAAGCTGTGGACAGTAAGTTTTTGGAAGAGGAAGGAGACAATGTACAAATACAGTACATGAGATTTTCATTCTACAGTACATCCACAGAACATAATGGATAAGATTAAGGAAAGGATTGGATTAATAAAAGACAACGCGAGACTTGCTATCTCCCGGGAGGATTTTATGAAAACTAGACCCTATTTGAATGATAGACATGTGAATAACACAAGGAAAACTCCACGTTGTCAACTGGTTGGAGAGACTCGAACACGTAATCAACCACCAGTTCGATTCATGGAGTAGGAATTAATAATTTGTATTTGCTGACAACGTTACCGTTATTGAAGAAAACGAAAATAACTTGAAAAAATGGTAGATATTAAACGAAGGAAAGAACTTTATGAAGAATATTGAAAAGAAAATGATGGCTACAGAAAGCAAAGAAATATTAATGTGTAAGGGAATTAACTTAGCAATAATTACAGAATTTATTCTTGAGGAAAAAAATGACTAGAAATGATTTATTTCTTTCTTAAAAAAAGAGAAAACTAAGAATAGTCAAAGTCAAAAGCAATAGAGATTAGGAACAATGCTAAATATTTTGAAAACATGCATTTTCTACACCTCGGTGGATGCAGATGATCCAACATAAGAATTATAAAATAGGATTAATCCAAATATGAATTTATTCCAGAAAAATCATAAAACGTAAACTATAAATGTTTGAATGAATTTCGAGCGAAAACTGAAAGCGTTGACATTAGACAAGATGAATGATACGAATAAAGAGGAACATCTCAGAGTTGGACCATAATTATATAACTGACAATTTGAAATGATTCATCAACTTTACTTTGGGTAGAGTAGGATCAAGAACAACTGTGACGAAGGGGTCTGATATCAATCTGTTGATATCAAGGGGTCTGATATCAACAGATTTTAAAGTTATAATTGTGATTGATTAAAAAGTATAAATATATTTTTATTGATTAATGTGACCGTAGGGTCGGTGTCTCTTTGACACCACGTCAGGATGTGACACCACCGAGTCTCGTAGGACTCGGAAATCGCGACTTTACGTCACGCGAGCGGTAGCGGGTGAGCGATTGGATTCGGAGTAGAGGTGAGGAGAGAGACGAGGAAGTGACTCACTCGGATTTCATATTAAATAACAATAACAATTTTAATAAGAACCAAAGAAAATACAGATATATTCGATAGCGGGCATGCCTAAAGTTCCACTAATTGTACTAGGCCGTTCGAGAGAGAGTGAGTTTACAAACGAATCGCGGGTTGATAAATACCTTTCTTCTGAGTCAAAGGTCTGTAGTAAGATGACACCGCCGATGGAATGTTCGATCAAATGGTTCTGGGTCTTGTCCGTTTACAGGAGCACGGAGATGTGGAGGCAGGGAAGTGAAGATGATATCCTTAAAGAGGCACGATCGTTGTCACGGTCTTAATCCTTGAGGACGACTTTGGCGGACGAACTTTGGAAGACGACTGACTTTGAATGTTCTTTCCGTTCTCCCTTGTTATTCCTCTTGGGTTTTTCCCATGAGATCAGGAGGTTGTTGTTAAGGGTCCGGCGTCCAATGTGGGCAATTTATCGAAAGTTCCGGGTGACACATCACTGACTAGCTGGATCCTCCTCAACAAGGAACCAACTCCGTGGGAAATAATTTTTATAGCTTTTAGCCTAACTTGATAAAACGCTCGAAGTTAAGAATTCCCCAATAATTAAAGGTTAAAATAACACTTTATTGCGGGTCGGTTCGTCCCTCACATTAAATATAAAGAAAATTAACTATAACTTATAATTATTTTTCGTTCGTTTACTGCATTATGAAGCTTAAACGAGAAAACTTTATTAAGTAAATTTGAGCCATTCATAACTCTCTTGTAATTGTGAATTTAATGATCGTAATACTTATGACATTGATTTTGAGTAACCATGATAAGTTAGGAATCGGAATTTAAGAAATAAAACAAAGAATAAATTTTTAAATATTAAATTTTATGAATATTAATTATTCACACATAATGCGTTTCTGTAAAATATATTTAAAAGTTTACCTTCTTATGAAGCAAATTACTTTTGTGCTTTTATCAGCAGTTGCCAAATAATTTGAGCATACGCCGTAATGTAATGGACCATTTCCTTCTGTAAAAATGATTTAAACAATAAAATTAAATTTACAATTTATAAAGAAAATTTTCTTTTTGTAAAAAATTATTGTATTGTATTTTATTTTATTCCATTTATTTGTAGAGTTATAAAAGTAAAAGAAAAACAATAACTGTTTTTGTATTAATATGCAGTACAGTAATCTGAATTATTACGATTGTAAAGAAATAAAAAAGCGTAAATAATAAATTTCAGTTTTTTAAAATATAAAATATTAGTTTAGTTGGATATTACAATTTAAATTTTATTTATACAAACAGCATTTTTAAAATATGAGAAATTAAAAAAATATTTCCAAATAAAATTCAACAGACGTGAATAAAAGATATTGCATCAAATAATAAGTATATTTTAAATTACATAGTTAACAGTTTACATAACTTTCTACATTTAATCGTGATGAAGATCAAGATGAATTATCTGAAATAAACCTATATCAATAAGGATAAGAAATTAACAAAAAATGTTATAACTAAACGAACTGGTCACTTCTAGTTAACTTTCAAAATTTTGATTATGTATATAAATATAATAGATATATATGTATATATATAATCTTAAATTATAAATTACATAATATATACGTACTCTGAGTTTTGAATTTTACAACTGCAACTGTTGCGTGTATCTCTCGTGGAGTGAAATCTTCTGACGAACTGATGCTGTAGAATCGAGGTTGTAGTGGCAAGAATTGAGTAAGAACAAAAGCGGGTGTAAGAACAATCGAAGGAAACAATTCTAAAACATCTAAAATATTTGGATAATAATAAGCTTTCCAATCTTCATATTGCTCGGTGTTCTGAAATATTATTAAATATTAAATATATATAAGTGTACAGTACATTACTAACATTAAAATATTCTAATACATAAGACATACTTTAGATAAACTTTCTAATTTTGATTTATCTTCTTCACTTGTAGCTAACGTAGCGAAAAGACCAAGTGAGTGTTGAGATGGAGGCGTTGTTATATCTAGTAATCTACTTAATGCCATATAAATCGAACACGGTTCAAATTTTTCATTTTTAACCCATTTTTCTTTTACTCCTAACAAACTTTGAACAACTTCTAAATTTTCAACTTGATAAACAATTTGTGGATCCGGACAAGTTGTTTTCATCTTGTCTAAAATTCCTTCTACTAATTCTTTTCTATTGACTGGATAAATACCAATATGATCTCCGGGATAGAACGATAATTCAGACTGATCGTTATTTATTTTCACCAATATAGTTTGCCGCCTGCAGAATATTTTCTTATATTTACAAATAAAAAATAAATAATATTCCTTTAATATAAATAAAATACATACTCATCTAAATCTGGAGTGAGGAATGTCACATCCTTTATGGAACAAGTAGAAAGTTTCCTATTTGTTCCCTTTGAAATAGCTGAAATTATTTTTATTTACTTTAGTTCTTATTAAGGATTGTTTTTAAGCAAAGATGTTAACGTAACTAACCTTTCATTATATCAATTTTAGATTGTTTAATAGACTGCAAGCGAATTTTTTCAGGCGACCAGGTATTACTTGATTTTAATGATTGTGTAGCATTTTTCATATCAACGTCATCACCAATACAAAATACTTCGCACGCTTCCTGTAATTAACAAAGTTGAACGTATGTACTAAGTTAAAAATTCAAAATTAACATTTTTCTGATAAAATTTAAGTTATAGAGAAGTTAATATTAAGTGTAGCAATTTGGATAAATGTAATAAAACATATTTCATGGAATTCATTAAGTACATATAACTAAAAACAAAAATTATATTGCTTTCTGTGTAATCTTATAGTGTAATCATATTATAGAATAATAAAAATCTTCGAAACAACTCATACTCGAAAGTTTCACAGGTTACTTGAAGCGTTTACAAATAAACTGCTTCAACCTTTTGCAATGACACTATTCTCAGTACTAGATGTTACTCTTTCGGCATCGGATCCAGTCTCTATTTTAATCCCTTTGTATTTCTCATAATATATAACATTTCTAGATACAATCTTTTGATAACATAATAGAATGATCAGCTTTTTTCCCCATACCTTTTCGATGTAATTTTCTGTAGATATTACTATTTATTATTATATATAAACAGTTCTGTATATTAATTTAGATGTTGATAACAAAAACTATTAAAGGTATTTTAAATAAATAAGGAATTGTTTGAAGTTATGGATCTTATTAAACATTTTTAGTGAAATTTCCTCATATCATTTGCAACAAAACAATTTTTAGACTATCTTTAATGTAGGCAATTTGATAATCAAGGTCAACGTTTAACAACTCATAAGATATTTAATTAATTAAGATCACGGAAAAAGATATTATTATTAATTAAATAATTATAAAAATATGCGAAGTTCTTGTTTTGTAAAACTAAAAAAGACATTTTTGATTTTCTCAAAATGCTATTTTACTAACTTGAAAGACTTCTTTCGCCCAATTTCTGAAATAATATTCTTGACCACAAAGTTCGTCACCAGTCGTGAGTTTTAAAATTCTCTCTCCACCAAGTTTTTCTAATAAATTGTCCACTGTTTTCCCGAATTGAGAAAATTTCGGATATGCGCTCGATCCCAAACCAAATACAGCAAATCTTTTAAAAAGTATTATATAATTCAAGTAAATGTAAGAAATAAACATTAAAAATAAATATACGATAAATTCAATTTAATTTATAAATAAATATATTTGATTTACCTGATATTGCTTAAAAGTCCAACTTCAAAATCGGTAACATTTGATGATTTACCATTCTCAAGATCTCCACTATTATTTTAAACGAAAAATTTTTAAATAAATATAAACAACATGACTTAATTATATTTAAGTTAAATCTTACTCTAAATTATCAGTTGTTTGAAGAGACTGAAGATATTTCAAAAATTCCTAAAAATCAAAATAAATTTTATAAAATAGTTATTTAGTATTTCTGAATTATTAACGTTTGTAATATTGATTAAACTTACTTCTCCATTTTCGGGAGGGTCTCCATTTCCGAAAGTACTAGCGATAATAAGAAGAAGAGTCTCGTGTTCTAACTCGGTTAAGTCATAATCCGACATGCACATCATCTGATTAACGCATAAATGCATATAAAAGTCGCAATTACCAAAATTAAATTGAAATTTACTTACTTTTGCATTAAAAGCATGCATGAAAATATTGGTTAAAGACTTTGCATATTGTTCAGATTTTCCCGTTTCTGTTGCATATAAAATCGTAGCTTTTATACGACGAGACAATGCTTTACCGTACAAATCCGAAGTAAATTTTACGGCGCTAAGAAATTATCAGTGAGAAAAATATTCGATAATATTTTAAATACAGAAGAAAAGATTTACCTAGTAATAGTTTTGAATAAAGTTTTTTTGCGTGGCATTTGAGATTTGTCTCCAGAACTGTCTTTCTCCCAAACGTGAGACTTCCAAGCTGGTTCCTTTTGAAAGAAACGAAAATAATAATTCCAGTCTGTACTAATTTTTGTCAATTGAATAAATAACAACTTACTTGATATTCATAACTTGGTCTCAACTTATAATTGAGCATTTCTTGATGGAAGACAGGTGTAATACTTCCACTGAGAGGAGGTACTATCCAGACCCAATCAGCGGGACAACCGCCTCTCAAAGTCTGCTCTTTAGCTAAATGTTTCATGAATGACTCTGAGGCATAATGATGATCGACTATAGTTACGTTTGCTTTCTGAAAAATAATAAAAACTTTAGACGAAATTAAGAGTAATTTAGAGAGAATTAAAATAAAAATACCTTCATTAAAATTCAACAGTAACGACGATCAAATTGTTTATTTTCCGCTAGTTATGAACATATGAAAACTTAAGTTTAGAGAAAGCTGATAATCCTTTTAATTTAAGATTTTTTTTATAAAAAATGTATTTTTCAGATTTGACTAAATATGGTACAAATTTATTCAAAACAAATTGTTAAGGATTTTAGAAAAATTAGCAATACTAATCAGCAAATAACTAAGTTATATTATTGTATCATTTTTACAATAAAAGTTTTAGTGCATGCTCGATGTTGTGTTGCGACATGCAGTCAATACTTTATGCGTTACGTGTCATGTTAAATGGCAAATCCATCGATCTTTCATGATTAAAAATCGACAAATTTTTTAAATCTAAATTATAACGTAAAAATTATCACTTACTAT